AACGGTAGACCCGACCCGCAAATTCATTCATATCGCGTACCTAAAATTCCGCCCTTTTGGCGTGACGATCCCGAAACTTGGTTCTTGCGAGTAGAAGCGACGTTTCGTAATGCGAATATTAAAACAGATAGCACCAAAGTAGATTTTCTAGTTGGCGCGTTAGAAGGAGAAGTCATTAGACATATTAGAGACCTCATTGCTTTAGAGCCGCCCCCGGTTGAATTGTACCAAGCTCTTAAAGATCGCATTCTGTCAACCTTTTCGACTTCACCAGAGGCACGTTTACGTCAATTATTAAAAGGACAATCACTTGGAGACCAAAAACCTTCTCATCTATTAAATCATATGCGCCAACTAAACGGAGGTCAATGTAGTTCAACAGTCCTCAAGTCTTTATTTATTGAGCAACTACCTGAGACTCAAAGAGCTATCCTCGTAGCAATCAACGAACCCGATCTTCAAAAATTGGCTGAAATAGCCGATAAAATCGCTGATATGAGCGGTCACGACCTGTCACTAGTTCCTATTCAGACACACACTAAAAAAAATAAATCTCATTCTCCTAGTGATCCGAATGATCAGTCAGACCTTAAAACTAAAATATCTGAACTCACTAAACGAATCACTAATTTAGAGAGTAAATTTTCAAAATTTAAACGAGAGCGTTCCTCTTCACGATCCCGCGGGAGCATCGAAAGCGGACGCAAAATCCGGCCTTTGCTACATACATCAAAAATACGGTAAAAAGGCAACGTCTTGCCGCAAGCCTTGTTCTTGGAAAGACGATGATACATCGGAAAACTGAGTTCTCCTCCCCGTTGCGAGACGGTCGGCGAGAGGGAACTTACTCAAAATCGTCTCTATATCCGTGATCGTATTTCCGGTCACCGCTTTTAATCGATACCGGTGCCGAAATCTCAGTCCTAGCTGCATCTGCTTCGCAGAAAAAAGCAGCAACACAGCTTAAATTGTACGCCGCTAATAATACGAGTATTGACACTTTTGGCGAACGCCGCCTCACTTTAGACCTCGGGTTGCGTCGCGCTTTTACT